TTTACCTCTGTCTTATCTAATTTCTTGTGTTTTCTCATCTCTCAGATTTCCTTTTCACTGAATCATAGAAAAATAGGACCAGAAAGGACCTGAAGAGGTCGTGCAGTCCATCTCCTCCCCCTAGGCAGGATCAACTGCCCCTATATCATTTTTTATAGATGTTTGTCTAGCCTGTTCTTAAAAGTCTTTGGTGATGGAGGTTCCCTAACATCCCTAGGCAACCTAGGCCACTCTCCTTAGCATTCAAAAGGTCTTCCTGATGCCTGATCCTAACCTCCCTTACTGCAATTTAAACTCATTACTTTCTTCTCCTTTCCATTAAGCCCATATTTCACCCTTGCTGTTTGTCCAGATTCTCTGTAAAACCAGGTAGCAGTTCTGTAATGATACAGGGCAATATTCTGTCAAGTTTTCTTTATTTCCACTTAGTGTCTTTCTCTTTCCTTATCTTATGCAAAATACCTTGTCACTCTATCACTAATATGCAACTTTCTGGATGCAGAGAACTTCCTTTTAATACAGGACTCCAATCAACCATCCCAGATGTAGAAATATTGTACATAAATAATTTAAGAATAAACTTCAGTCTTACAGGCCTAAGTCATTATTTGCCTCTGCATTTATCGGTAAATACTACCTTTGCTGTTGACAGCAGCATGTAAAACTGATGTAAAAGAAATAAGAATCATACAATCACAGAATTTTAGGGGTTGGAATGGACCTTATAGATTATTTAGTCCCAACCAAGTATTGTGATGCACTTGATGCTTTTCATATTCACCTTACTCCTCTAGCTGTAGTGTGCATACACATATTCCTGCCAGATGCTGATCAGTGTTTCATACAGTCATCATTCTGGCATGTCTACTATTTCCACCTTCACATAATAGCACTTACTGCAGCTGCTTCTGTAATTTCTGTGCCTCCTTCTGTTTTTGGGTGGAAAATGCACAACAGTCATAAATATAATGCATATCATATGTACGTGTCCAAAATTGGGAAGAGTCAGCTATTGCAAGTTCAAATTGATTCTGTCATCTAGAAGCTAATTCATAATCTAATTGTTGCCTCTCCTTAAGGCAATTTCTGGAGTGGAAATTATAGTGGATGAAAAGAGAGAGAGTATTTTAATGTAATTTCATGACATAGATAACTATCATTGTTCTTTAAGCAGAATATTTACAGCTTAACCATCATGTCTGTGAAACAGGGGGTGTGCTTGAAATTGTGTAGGGAGTTCATTTACAGCTTAACCATCATGTCTGTAAAATAGAGGGTGTGCTTGAAATTGTGTAGGGAGTTAAAGATGGAATCTTCCCTCGGTCTCTGGTCAGGCCTTAAGGTGACCTCTTCAGCCTCTCCCACACCATTGCTCCTTTCTCCCTCTCATGCAGTGAGTTAGAAGTCAGAAACCTGTAAATATTCCTTATGCATTGCTATTATACCTAAGGTTACTGTGTATCCAGACTTCAGGAGTCATATTTCTTTTAGCTTAGCTAAATTTTGAGAATTTCGTATATTTTTGTTAAAGATTTCTGGACATCCAACAAGAAAACTGCCATGCTTCTGGGTATCCTAGTTATTTCAAAAATATATTTGCAAATGCATTGTACAATACATGTGCAGAGAATCAAACATTTTCTAGACACAGTCAGCATACTGTGCATGTGCTATGTAGTGGCTCTGACTTTGCACACCTTGCATGCACAACTGGAGAAAGCAGAATGCCCTCTCATTCTGGAGCTTCCTGGAAGCTTCAGATTTATTGTGCACATTCTCAGCAGTTGAACTGTTCAGGAACTGTATGTGTAGCATGGCTGGAAAATGTTGGATTTGCCATCTCCCTGAGAAATACTGTTGGGAAATGGTTTAGAATCATAAAAAATTATGGGTGGAAACTCAAGGTTCAAGAGATTATCCAGTCCACTCTATTGTTCTCAGGTGGAGTAGCTATTCCACTCTTTAGCTAACCTGCTCTAAGCAATCTCATAGAAAACCACAGGTTCTGCCCACAATCTATGCCAGTATTTCACTGCCACATTATACAGCTTTGCCCAGCATCTAATTTGAACCTTCCATGTTAATATACCTCATTGTCTCCACTATAAAATGTAAGACAGATTAATTCTCTCCTCTTTTCTTTAGCTCTGCCTCTATTTGAAGCAGGCATCATATACCACTTGGTCTTTCCTTTAGACTGAACATGACCAGGTGTCTTCATAAGCCCCAGGTAATTTCCAGGCCTTCAGCCACTCTAATTATTCTCCTCTAGTCAGTCCAGATTTTTCTGAAGTCTGGTACATAGCTGTGGAAATGGAATCCCCCTCAGCAAAGATCTTCCCAGTGCTTAGTAAAAAAGAAGATGTGCTTCACATGCACTGCAGACATCACCCCCACTCACAGATCTTGGTATGGGAGCTGCCTTTACTTTGATTTTGCAACACCCTAGGATTGCAGCTGGCATATTCAAACTGACAGGCACATTTTGATTCCTAATCTTGCAATCCAACCTTTCAAAATTCCCTCCCAGCATGTCATCAGCATGTAAACTTAGTAAAGATATTCTCTGCTTCATCATCCAGGTCATTAAGAAAATAGAGTAGTGCAGAATGAGGACAGAAGCAGCATGCACGCACCATGCATGCAAACTTCCATTTCCACAGATATCTACATCCTCTCAGTTTTATTTTCAACTACTTTTGCATTCATTCTGCAGCAATTTCACCTAAACTATGTTTTCTTAGGCTATAAAGAATGTCACACGAGGGAGCATTGAGAGACTTTGTAAAGTCAAACCACCTACTGCTTTTTGCCTGTCCGCAAGGCCAATTACCCTGTCCTAGAGGGAGATCAGATTGGTTTGACACAGTTTGTTCCTAACAATCCATGTTGTCTGTTGCCACTTCGTTTTCTTGCAGGTGTTTACAAATTGTTTGATTATTTTCTTCAGTACTTTTCCATGGGTTGAAGTTTAGTTGACTGGACTATAATTTTGCAGATCTTTCTTTTTAAAGATTGCTGCTGCATTTGCTCCTCCGTCCTCACATATAAGCACTAACATCTTTAAGACTGTTCCAATAGTGTGAAAGCATCTAACTCATCTATATACAGTACTTATCTTCCCTCACCTAGGCTGAAATCTTTAGTTTTACCAGAGATACCCTCAGACCCCAAACACCTGCCTGTTTCTGAAAGCTGCAGTCTGGGTGTGATGTGGGTATAATGGGTGGACAGGCAGACCATTTCTGCAGTGCTCAGAGGAGACCAGACCTCCTAGTGGGATGCTTTCCTAGGAGAAGATATTATAAAAGTAGACATTCTACATTGGGAATTCTTTCTAGATAAAATCCAGTCCTTAGTGAAATTTTTTTAAGATACCTAGTGCTTGCATGAATCTGAAACCTGGAAGCCTTTCAATCAGCTCCTCAACTATTATGCCCTGATAAAGTGCCAGTTATATTTTTTCAATGTGCCTGATCAAAAAAAAATTACAGTCCTTGAGGTAATAAAATACTTTAGTTTATTGATCCCCAAGGAAGTCAGAATAGGCTAAACCTGATCAGATAAATAATTATCATTATTATTATTAAAGGGTAAATCAAAGTTTCTTGCTTCATTTTCTGTTATTCTACATGGAAAAGAAGTGTTAATATTTTTCATTCTTAAACAAACTGTAACATGAATATTGTCATTAAAATAGTTCATACGTATTCCACAGAAATGTGTCATTTGGAATGTGGACACCTTTACCTACTGTGCTATGCAATTTGTTGTCCATTTAGCATCAGTCATGCCTGTGCTCTGGTAGAATATTACATATAATTTGAGTGTTACTAATGAATGTAGTTCCTTTTCTAAAGTAATTTCTTCAGTTAGATATCAAAAGAGAAAAACTCATACTCCTTAGCACTCAAAAAACAGGTTTGAATTACTGTCTCCAAGCAAGGCCAAATAGGCCTTTATCTTTTCCCCTTTTGGAAAATGCAGACAACTGTCACTGAAGAGTGAAGGCTTTTAGTACTTTTTTACAATCTTTTTGATCAATATCAAGAATCAACATAAAATAAATGCATAATAATTAGCAGTCACCTGGGTGTATCAGAACTATATTACTATATTCTTAGGCTCTGAAAAGGCTGTACTGCACTACTAGTATCCAGTTCAAAACTGTAAGGTACATTGTGTGCCTTCATTCTATAGAGAGACTGCCCTTTGAATTTTCTGTGGAAATCAGTCCCAGACAATGTTCCCAGTTTTCAATCCCACATGAAAGCTTGTTATAAGCAGAATGGCTTAATGGTTCTTTCCTTACCCCTTGTGAACAACTGCACTCTCATAAAATTTGTTTAAAAAAATTTTAGAAAGTCAGAATCATGTATCACAGTGTATTATTTGCATCTACCATACTCACTAGACTTTTTAGATGTGCCTTATTGGATACAGTCCTGATATGAATAGGGTTCAGAAGTTTCTCTGTGTGTTTTAGTCAAGGACAATTTATGATTTCATCATTTTTATTTGTTTGCTAGATCTGCTCATAAAACAAATTATTGCTTCCTGTAGGAAAGGTATTTTGCCCCAGTTTATGTCCTATTCCCCATTCCCACTCTTCTTGGCCCTAGTCTGAAACAATGCTGATTTATATGAAAATCCATGTAGGGAATAAAATTCCGACTTCATGAGTCAGAAAACAGGTAAGGACATGTATTTAATAAATCAGAATGCTGCTGTGAATGTCACAGGTCTCTCATCACCCATGTCAAAATGAGTATTTAGCTTCTAATAAGATTAAATACCTGATTCATCTGAGTAAAAATGGAAAGACAACATTCAAAACAGCTCAGACTGCTCCTGCCATAACATTCTGTCACCTGAACAAAAGCCATGTGTTTTATGCTCCTATGTAATTTGTTGCCCAGAAGTTGATGGATGAGATGCATTGAAAGTTTTCTATTACTGCTTCATTTTCTAAATACCTATTTTTACATTTTAACATATAGCTCCATCAGCCCTCCCAGACGCAAGTGGGACAAGCAGCCTCACAATCCAATCTCCTGCATTTGGCTCACAGTCAAGCATCTATGTCTCAAAGCCCAGTGCGTCAGGCTTCCTCTTCTTCCTCCTCATCCTCCTCCTCTTCAGCTTTGAGTGTTGGCCAGTTAGTCAGCAGTAAGTATTGCTCCCTGGCTCTCCTTAATTCTCTCCTCTGTTTGTCCTCCTCACTGCTGAGTTTCCCAATCTGCTTTCCCTCCTTTTGTTTTTTTAAATATTGTAGATTTTATATTGCTAAGCAGAATGACTTACCATTGAGAAATACTAAGTGCTGTCATGGATGGGGCTTAAGGTAAACATGTCTTGAGAAATTGTAATCGATGCTGAAAATGGTCATAAAAATGGTAGCAGCCGTTAACTGACTCACAAGGGCAATTCTTATAACTGAAATGTAGTTTATGTTTTTTGGAAATGAGAAGCTTTTAAAATAGTCAATATAATTCATTAAATTTCTCAGAATTTGGTGGGCAAACAGATCCTTCTACTTTTAAGTTGCTTGTTTGTTTGCTTAGTTGACATAGCAAACCATTTTACAAACCCTAGTACTACACAAATCTAGAGTGAGAAAGTTTTCTTGCCTGGAAAAGCTTGCACAATTAAAAAAAAAATCAGCTGTAACATGAGGGAGAAGAGAGAAGCATACTGCAGTGAAATAACTGAGCTTCAGTGTTGAGATTATAACAGAACAGCCCTTTCTTCCAGATCACATAGTTTAGAGTCTTTGGTATTACCTTATCTGCATTAACTTTGGTCTTTACATTGCAAAAATAACAGGCTGAACGTATACATAAGAAGCATTAACAGTTTCTGCACATCTGCAAAACTCCAAGTGATTTGGATGACCTTGTTCAATGGTACTCCATGTACATATTTCAAATTAAAAAAAAACATGATAGCTCACGCCATATTGGTGATGTAAAATATGTGTGATACAAGCATATGAATGGCTTGGAGAAACTGTCATGCAAGGAAAGATGTAAAAAATCTTGGTTAGATTATTTCAGAGATTGTTTACATGGGGAAATTACTAGTAGAGCCATAGTGGTAAAATTATGCTGATATAACTCCCAGTGTGAATACTTCTATTCTGGAATAAAAATGTCTGCACTGGTAGCTGCAAGTACATAAAATATATAGATACAGATATAATTATAGTGATATAAATATACAGCTATTGCTCTGTCAGTAAATTTTCTCATGTAGGAGGAAGACAAATAAGAGGTTTCACATTAAAAATACATAAAGTTATCCCTTGTCTATGTGGAAAAATTGAGTAAAAAACTGGTGCAGAATGAGTTACTTTTCAAGTCCAAAACAGCCTTTCCTGTGGAAATTCTTATTTAAAATAAATGCAACATGGAAGGACCCCTTTTAAATTTGCAGGATAAATCTATCAAAAGTTAGGACATGCTAGAAAGAGAGTTGTTCGTTCAACTGTGTGCAATTCCCCTTAGAACATGCATTTTGTGATAACAATGGATTGTTGTGACTAAAATCATGCAATCATGATTTTTTTTCTCATCCTTCTTTCAGTGCCTCCCCAGTGGAATTACCCTAGGCATGCATCAGAATTGCTAATGCAACAGGTGGGCTGTTGTCCCACGGTTTGTTCCCTACCTGATTCACTAAACTTTTCCCTAGTTTGCATAACGTTTGAAGTAGGGAGCTGTAGAAGGGCCAAGGATGGTCTTGCCTCAGGCAATAGAGGACTGAGGAGCCGAAGCTTCCTCTCTGCTACATAATACCAGTGCAATATTTTTCACAAGTCCTCCTTCAACATCCAGCTTGAGATTCTGGACTTTAATTTACAGAAGAACCTGGTACTCACAGTCGCAATTTTAAGTGCACTTTCGCTGTGGAACTCTATCAAGAATCATTTAAAGGCACAGACTAAAAAATCATCTCCTACTTGACCTAGACTGGGTACCCAAAAATGCTTTTTCTCTTAATATCTGTCCACTTCTCTGTGAATGAGAAGGGGAAGACCCTCATCTTGTAGAAACACAAGAAAATAAATTAAGATTTTAAAAAAATCCAGAAGAGCTTAAGAGGAGATGTCTTTGGTGAAGAGCTTTAATAGAGGTCTGGGGCCACACACTGAACAAGTGAAAAGGCAATACATCAATCAGTTCATCTGTAATGAAGGACAATTTGTCCTGTGCACTGGACGAGGCACATGAAAAAGCACTGGTAATCCAGGGCTCAAAGACTATGTTACACTGTGTTGTAGGCTGCTGTTACTCCAGCATTTTGTAACTTCTGTGTGTTTATTTGTGCAATTCTAAGGATATTCTTTTAGTTTTATTTTTTGCTTGGATAAATTTCAAGGTTGTTGCAAAAGCAGAATAGTAATGTAAATCAGTTATATGGCAAGATAATTCCTATGTTCACAGCTGGAAATAGAAGATCTTCTGTTGAATAGATGGAAAAACTGATAGTTCTGTTGTCATCTTTTTGGTCTTGCTTTAAAAGGAATTAGATACATGCTGTGCTTATGGATTTGGCTGAGCACAGAGGAGTATGAGGCATGAGTGGGAGATACACCAATGAACATAGACTTTTTACTTGATCCTCTCAGGCTGGACTCCATCCACTACTTGCCCTGTTCCAGTTCCATTACTTCCTCACACTGTTCTCCACACAATCTACTCTCCTTTTGCCTCCATGCTTTTCTTCTTCTAGCCTTCTCCCTGCAGTCTTTTCCCTGCAGTCCATCATTGTTCAACTCCTCATTTCAGTTCCTCTCCAGCTCTCACTCAGTCTCTGTTCCCAGACCATATCTGTGTCCTTTTGCCAGGCTTTTTATTAGGTAGTTTCTGTCCTCCTCTACCTTGTTTTATCACTAGTGCCACCTCTTTTCTCCTGTTTTATCTACCACTCTCTGCACAGTCAGGCCCTCTCTCCCTCCACTCCAAGCACAAATCTCTGCTCTTTGGTAGTCTTCAGGTTTGGTTTTTTCCTTCTAGCATTTCTTTTTCTTTAGCATCAAGGTTAATTTTTCCCCACCCCTGCCCCCACCCCCCACATCCAAATCCTGCTGACACCACTCCCACACTCCCTGGAAGCCATCAGAGGAGTGTGAAAAATCATCACGAAGAAGAGTGGCACATCACTCTCTCTGTCTTTACTGTTGTTCTGTCCCAATGCAGACCAGAACCACAACCATAAGAGAGGGAGTTCTTTTCCTTCTACTTCAGCCTTAGGCTCAAGCATCCTCAGTACAGGGAAAATCTTACAGAATACTACACACGGAGGTATAGCAAATCTCGGCTGAGTAGATACGAGCTTTGGAGGCTCATGTGCTTGAACTTGATGGAGTCAGATTTTTACTTGGGATGGCAAGAAGTCCATTACTGACATAACAGTTATCTCCCTGACACCTCTCAAGGCAAGGAATTCAAGTTGCAGGGAAACTAAAACTTCTTAAAGAAAAAAGGTTTGGTTTCTTTAACCTGGGATGAACAACATGTTTTATTAGCCTCATTCTCAGTAGTTTACTTGAAATTTGTCTTATAATGGCAAATGCTAAGCAAACTTAGCCAAGTCAATACCCTACATGAGATAATGGGTGGCACAGAGAAGATTGTTGGGGTGCTTCTCCCTTTCTCAAAATAAAAAGAAGAAAGCTCAACTAAATTGAATGGGGAACTCGAAGTAAAGAAAATACTTTTCATACAATCAGACTGAGGAAGGCATTGCACTTGGAAATTAACTCACTCAGATCCAGATCTTAAGAGCATTCTAAAGGAGGAGGTTATTGATCATAGAGTCATAGAATCATCAAGCTTGGAGAAGACCTCTAAGATCATCAAGTCCAACCATTAACCTAC